CATTCTTATCTCTATAATAAGCTTTGCAACCTTTCTGTTCTTCCCTTAGCCTACTTTCTGCACCTCCAGAGTGCTTAATTTCACTGCTCAGGACAGGAGGACAGTGTTGTCTTACGGGGCTCTGGAAACGTAACTGCTGTCAGGCAGGAGTGGGTATTAGACAGCTCATCTGCCATAACTTGATGGGGGAGTTTGGGGGTCAGAGAAAACGTGCTGAAGAAGTGCTGCCTGCCTGAGCATAGTGATTTTACTTTCCAGCTTGTTGTGAGGTTAAGGCAGGCAGCGTGGTATACCTTGCCACAGTGGGTACATATGGACTGGAAGATGCTAGAAATTAAGGGACTGGTAGCTTAGTGTTGCTGATGCTTTTCACTTCTCACACGCAATGTTACAACTAGTGGCAAATTAAATTGACGAATCAATTAAATCTTTTCTTTCCATGCATGCCATATTGGTTTTCACCCTTTCCCGTCAGCAGACTCTGCATCTTCAGAAGCTGTTTTACGCTGAGCTTCTCTGAAGGGCAGCACTGGTTGTTTCTGTTTATCAAGGAGTAACCCTAAGCAGTTTTTAAAGACTTTATAGAAACAATTTTTTAAATGTTACTCACTGGCTGGAGAGGTACTGCAGCCACTGCAGAAGCAAGTCCTGCTGCAGTGAAGATGGTGTGGCAGGGAGAAGGCAACTCGCCTGGAGGTATACCTTCTGTCATCATAGCTGAAAGTGAAAGCAGCAGTGGGAGATGTCCACATTGGGGAGAAAACAATTATATGGCTCACATGGAGATTCCCCTGCTTCTCATATGTGTGTTTGTGGGAGAAAGGACTAGTCACAGTCACTTCAGGACTGGCCAGTTGTCGCAGCCTCAAGAACAGCCAAAGCAGAAACTTTCCACCAGTCGGACCTTTCTAGTTTGGAGAGGACAAGAGTGCCCTGTCATCAGTTGCATTACTCTGATCATCTCTGTACTGCAGTCTTTTCACCTCTGTTTTTCTGGATCCTGTCTGCCCTTCTGTCTTCTTTTCCCCATCTCTGTGCTTCGTTCATTATTCTTTTTCTGTGTTTTTCTATTTTTGGCTTATCTCTAACTGAAGTCTTTCACAACACTCAGTAAGTAACAGCACTGTTATGTTTTCTGTTGCCACCACACTTTTTTCAGTTTTTGACTTTCTCTGTTCGCTTGCATTTGAGATCGTTAGCATTCTGGAACAGGGACCACCCTGTATTTGTACAATACCTGTTACAGTGGGACCCACTTTTACTGTCTAATAATGTGATTAATACAGCTAGTACAAATAAATTATTCATTGGCACATGCTGGTATGTGTCTTTGTATGGCTTCTGGCACTGTGGTGTCTAGGTAGGTTGCTTTCTGAATTGTTGCATGAAGAAGCAACGGGAGAACGCGTGTGTTTTTTTTCTGAGAGCACTGGCATGGCTACTGTGTAAGCGATTCTCACTGGGAGCCAGTTTTTTTATTCCTGAACCAGTTTCACCTTCTGCCTGTTCAGCATCCTTCCTTTGTCCAGTGGCAGCCTCCTCTCTTGCCAGTTGACTGCTGAACTGTGGATCTGTCAGAGGAGACAGTGTTGATAAAGTGACATCTCCCCAGACATCTCTCTAGTCCCTATAGAATTGTGTCCCAAAAGCACTCTGAAATTTGTATGACAAATGGCAGCCAGGCCCCACTGAGAGACTTATGGTGTGGAAATATGTAAGCATACACACTGTCAAAGGCTAGTTGGGGAACTGCAGTGTTTTGTCTTTCAGTTGATACTTTACCATTTTCTTCCTTTACAAATGTGTTGAAGATGCTAGTGCTTCATGAATATCAAACACAAGGGTTTCCTTTCTTCCTCCTTTCTTTTCTTCCTCCTTTCTTTTCTTCCTCCTTTCTTTTCTTCCTCCTTTCTTTTCTTCCTCCTTTCTTTTCTTCCTCCTTTCTTTTCTTCCTCCTTTCTTTTCTTCCTCCTTTCTTTTCTTCCTCCTTTCTTTTCTTCCTCCTTTCTTTTCTTCCTCCTTTCTTTTCTTCCTCCTTTCTTTTCTTCCTCCTTTCTTTTCTTCCTCCTTTCTTTTCTTCCTCCTTTCTTTTCTTCCTCCTTTCTTTTCTTCCTCCTTTCTTTTCTTCCTCCTTTCTTTTCTTCCTCCTTTCTTTTCTTCCTCCTTTCTTTTCTTCCTCCTTTCTTATCGATATGAAGATCTCAGTAGAGCACAGCACATCACAAATCTTTTCCCAGTGCTTTAACCACTCCCTTTCCACCTCCCCAAAGGTCCTGGCTGATATCCCCATAATCAAGGCAATCACAGTGTAAAAATAAAACATTGCCAAGGCTCAGCTGTTACATGCTGGTGTGTGAACTAACATGGCAAAGCCGCTGTTCTATTGTCCATAAGGGGGAGACTGTGCTTAAAAGCTCCGGTCTCCTGTTGTCTCAAGGAACAAATGCCTGTGGAGTGGCAGCTTTGCAAAGTGAAATTCCAGCTGTTACTCAGTAGCCCAGGAGGCCAGTTGCCTAAAAGTATGCACCAGGGACAAGATGGATTTGAGAGATGGAAGAATAGCGGAGACATATCAGAGTAGTTGATGCAAAAAGGCGCTGCTATTGCACAGCAGCTTGGGCTGGGTAGCAATGGAATTTCTCATTGCAGACGTGCGAGGAGCTGTACCATGTGCAGAGCCTGGCCTTGGTAGCATATGCTGGGCAGTAAGAACCTGGCTACACAGAGCCAGGATTGAATCTAAGCTCTTCATGCTCCTCTGCCCCAGGCTGCTTGCAGGTTCAGGAAAATAGCTCTGCAGAAAAACAGGTTGGGAAGGAATTCTTCATAGAGAAAGAGCTCTCTTAAAACAAATTAAACAGCTGAACTTCTTTCCCTAGTTGCTGAGGAGTTGTCCATTTGCCTTTAGGGAAATGAGGAAGGAGACTTGAATTATTTCTCTTCCTTAATGTCTGTTGATTCTTACTGCAGTGGCAGCTGGTTGCTGGTTTTGCTTTCCCTGGGTGAATCCCAGCTGTGATTGCAGCTGCCGCTCCACTAGCTCAGATCCGAGCAGGGACTTGTGAGCAGGCGGCCCATGTTGAAGTGCTTCACAGCAGTGGATACAAGTGAATGCTAAATCTGTTCCCTGGTAAATGTTGGAACCATGTGAGTGCACTGAACCCTTCTGAGCTGCCAAACCTTCTGTCAAGCCAGAAGTTAAGTTGTTGTAAGTCTGTGTTCCCTTTTCTTTCAATAGCTTGTAGTATGTCCTGTAGGAGTGTAAATATGACTCCAGCAAGGCATGAAACATGCAACTTGAAAGCCACAGTGTTCAAGAGGCTGGGTAATGGAGAGTGTGATTGTGACTCACAGGAGCTGCTTCTCTGGTCGGATTGAAATGGGAAGAGTCTGGGCACGTCCCTACCTGCCTGCTTGCCCTCCTCTGGGGGGAGGAGGGGTACGGGAAGCCTGGCAGGGGTGCTGCTGAACTCGCTTCACTGATATGACTGTCAAGGCTGGTGAGACTGCAGAAGCCCCCCTGTGCTAAGTATGTACTGATGCTGTAGGAGCAGCCGCTGGGGTGACTGCCCTGCGCATGAACTGCGTCTGGTGTGTTGATGAGGTGTGTGCCTGGGAATGTTGCAGAGAATCTGCAGATAGTTTGGGGGTTTGTTTTCTTTTTACTCTTCTCCCGCTCCCCACCCCCTCCACACTGTTTTTCTATCTGTGTATTTAAAGTAAGGATGCTTCCAGGTAGGTTTTCTTTCCACCAGCTCTGATTGGCACTACTGAATATCACTTATTCCTGGACTCGGGCACCAGCTCTTAGCTGTGATGAGGTCTGGAGAAAGTAAGTGAAAACCCTTCTGCAGGGGGAGGTGTGGGGAGGAGGGAACCCATTAGAGTGCAGCAGAGGGAGCTGGAGTGAATTTTCACGCTGACGAATATGAGAGTGAAAGCCCTGACTGCTGCTGTGGTGTAATTTGGCCAAGCAAGAGTTCTCCAGGCACCATCAGAGCACATCTGTGCCGAGCACTTGACATGAGCTGTTCCCATCATAGGCGTTTACCTCAGCAGTGGGTCTCATGAGTAATATCCCACCTAGACCAGTTGCAAACCCTGGCCTGGGGAGAGTTTACTGTCTTGCCATTTGTCTTCTGAGCTGCACCTGACAAGCAGAGGAGAGGCTGAGGAAATATTCCAGCTGCAGCTTGATATCTCTCCCCCCCCCCCCCCCCCGCCCCCCCCCCCCCCCCCTTATTATTTTACTTTCAATTTTAGATTTCTCACACCTGCCTTTAGATCCATCTAGAAGGGAAGGGGAGTACGTTGGTGCAGGCAGTGAAAGAAATGAGGCAGAGAAGTAGGAGTGATCAGTGTTTCTGCTGCCATGTTTGGGACACTGGCATAAGCTATCTCTAACAATCTAAATTGGAGCTGAGGACTAAAGTCATTACAGGAAGAAGTCAAAGTAGTGGCTGCAGTGGTGGATGACTACAAGTAAGAGCCAACTACAACATTTTCAACATAGTGGAGTTCTAAAGGATTAAACCATCAGCTTCAACGCATCAGGCAACAAAGTTCTATAGAGCAAAATGTCAGGCAATACTGATTTTGGAAGGGATGAGGAGATACAGTTCTTGAGCAAGGATGGGTCAGTGATGGCCATGAGTGCTGTGTCTCTGCTAGAACACTGAGCAACTTGCAGCCTTCTCGCAGCAAGGCAGCAATTCCCTCTGCCAGAGTGGTGAGCACAGCCCCGTATCTGCTGGGACAAATGCACCCATGCGTAGGGCAGTGCCTGTGCTCGCAATTTCCGATGAGCCTGTGACTGAATCTGCATTGGCCTCTCAGCAGGGAGCGTGCCTTCAGCAGAGCAAGCGATACAGTGTGGTGAGTGAGGAACTACTTCTTGCAGGACTGTGGCTCCATGTGTACTGACTCAGGCTGGCGGGGAATTTCTGCTGCATCCCTAAGCTGTTCCTGAGACCTCTGAAAATTTCCCTCCTTTGTTTCAGAGCCATCATCAATCACTTCAACCCGAAGATAGAGTCTTACGCTGCGGTGAATCACATATCACAGCTCTCCGAGGATCAGGTAAGCCAGGCGTGCAATGACCTTTTTTCATGTTGACCTCTGGAATGTATGTGTTTAGGAGTACCTTGTGCTCACTGGGACTCATGATGTTGCAGCAATATGAGGGGTGAAGGTGGGATTCTAATGTTCCTTGTTCAGATGTGGACAAGAGGAAGAGAAACAAGGCTTGCTTTAGCCAATTTACCATCGCATGCAGACCTCTTGGTCCAGCAAATCCAGAAGGATGGGTACGAATGAGGAAGATATGCAGCACTGTCAGCCAGCGTGGTCGGAGACTGTGAGGATGCTGGCATTTAGAATGGGGCAGGAAGTTTCTGGCAGCAAATTTAGTTACCGGAGAACTGTTGGGCATAGCTTGCTTTTCTGTGATATCCGGGAATTAGAACTCGGGCAACAGTTGGTAGAAATTTTCTAGGGTAATTGAATTCAGTTGTTTCACATTTTGAAAAGAGAAGGTTTTTATTAAAGAGGGTGATAAGGTTAGGTTTCCCTTCGTTAATTTGGCCGGGTTTGCTCTCTTTGTGTCCTGCTTATTGCATAAATGTGTAAATGTGGCTTTTTGAAAATAGGCTACTGTGTGTGGTCTCAGGAAGGGGAGAGATGGCCTATTTCCCAGAATAAAATATTGTGATTATATGTTAATCACTCTTGGAGAGGTAAATGACTTTGCAGGAGCCTGTGGTGGACAAAATACAAAGCTGCCGTGCGAGCTGGGGGGATCATCCCCAATACAGCTGCATCAGCACCTCTGGACCTTCCAGAGAAGAAATTCTGTATGCAGTCTGGGACAGACCTCATTTCAGTCACCTTAGATTGCTCCTTCCACTGGATGGGATCCCATGCTTGTGCCTGTTAAAAGGTCCTGACTGTATCTTGCTCTGCAATTCATTTCTCTTTCTGTCCATGATACTTGTACTCATTACTCTATGATATCCTTCCATGCTTCCCACTAACCTTTTTCATTTATTATCCTACTTGATCTGTAATACGTAACACCCCAAAGTCTCGGGTTGAATGCTGTACTGATGCAGTGGGGAAAAAAATGTGGACCCTACTTTTTATTCTCATCTTGATATAGCTGGCTAGAAGAACGCTGGTTTTAATTTACTCAATTCTTCTGTATTGTTCTGCCTCTGAGAGTCACTGTACCCACAGCTATGCTTTGTGATGGTTCATGTTACCAGTCCTCATTCATTGATGATACACTGATTGCATCAACCCAGGCCCCTAAAAAAGAAAAGCATTTGATAGCCCAATTTAAAACTGGGGGCTTGGATAGAGGGGAATTTTGCATAGTGTTTAGGTTAGTCTGAGAAAGGAAACGAGCTTTTCACTGTCAGCTCTGTGTAGTATTCATCCCCCATCAGTTCAGGGAGGTCAGGTTAAATTCTTTCTTCCTTGTGTGTTATTCTTTAAATAAAATCTCTAGCAGCAGGCAGATAATGAAATCAGTGCTGATGCATGGAGCATTTTGAGGAAGATGATTAGGAAGCTGAAAGACAGTTAGATTTCTCTTTTTTCTTTTCTCCCTTCATGCTTTCTCTCAACATAGGGAGAACATCAAACAAAGCAAAGCAATAATAGGCCTTAGTGAACTGCAGAGAAATAACGGCAATGTCACTGTGCTGAGGGACTGTGTGGCCTCAGTGAGGGTGTTTAGTCGGTGCTCTGCGATTTACTGCACGAGGAGGAGAGGGATGGAGACTTCTTGCCTCCACTTTCAATTAGCCAGTGAGCCCAGGTCTCTGTTGGACTGTGGTTTCCCCTCCATCAGTAGCCATCCCACATGGTAAGTACATGAGAGGTAATGGTAGATGGCCGAGATCAAGGCCAGGGTCTGGCTTTTGTGGCTAACAGATTCTGTTGTTTTCATTCTGTGTTAGCTGTTCAGCATGGGGTGGGGGGTCAGGCTTGCCTTTTGGCTGCTGCAGTCTCTTTTTTTTTTCCTTCCAGCTGTACCTTTTGTTTTTACATGTGTGTTCACTTGATTCCCCTTCTTTCTTCTCTCCATAAATATTTTCTACACAAAATCCACCTTCCTTTCTAGCCCTGTTTTTTGAAGTGTACCACATTGAAATATTTAATGCTGACATTTAACTTGCATATCCACACACAGATACTACATTTGGGACTGGTCATTCTGTCCTTCGAGTTATTTCAATAGTTTCAGGAGACTGGTATTTCTTTACTGGGAACATTTACTTTTATAGTTTTGAGGATCAAATGTTTCTTTTAATAAAGCTTTCCTAGCTTCATTCTCATACAGCTGCTCATACTCCTTTGTGGTATCTCAGAATCTCCTATTAATCAGGCAGGCACGGCTTTGACATAGCTCTATCTGAAGGGGAACTTCCATCTGCTCTGAGTTGCTTCCAATTCACTTGAACCTGCTCAGCTTGCAGACTCTTACTTGAGCCTGTGTCAAACTTGCTGTGCTGCTCCCTGACTGTTCTGGCACCCTATTCATGTGTTAGATTTTTTTTTTTAAATTATTTTTTAAATTTTTTGTATTTGTAATATCCTTAAAAGTAGCTAAGTAATCAGCTGAAAGAGATTTTGCTCTTTTTATTTTCCTAATCCTATTGAAGGCTTTATTACCTTGTTAATCACTATTGTCTGTTTATTACCATTCTCAGTCTGTCATTTCAGTGCTTTCTCCTTTTTTATTTATAAGCACTAATGTTAACGTTATTACATGCTGAGGGGATTTTCAGGCCCTTGGAAGTGATGGACATGGGATTGTTTTAAGGCTAGATTGTTAATACCACTGTACATCTTCAGCCCTAAAGGTCGCCAGGAAGCATAGTTTGAATATACAGATCTGTGCTCTAGGCAGGTATGAATATAGACTTCATGGTACAGCTTTGCTGACTGTTGTGGGGTTTATCCAGTGTTCAGATCAGAAATACTGGGAAGAGACCTTTTTCTTTCCGTACTCTCTTGAGCAAAGAGTGGGAGATTCCCTGGGGTGAGCAAATGCCAGGGATTTGACGATGAGCCACCTCAGTCTATCAACACCGTGTGATCCTTGCCAGTGCTATTCTGCGAAGAGTCTACTTGCCAAAGCAAACTCATAATCGTTCCTAGTCGTTAGCTATTTTGACCTTGCTGTAGTTCCTCACTGTGAAACAGGAAATGTCTTAGCCAGTTATCGGCATCTTCCTTCACTTGCCAATTTGTTAAACCTGACTTCAGTGTTAATTTGTGTTTTTGCGGTATTCTCCCTCTCAACACGTTTGGCTCCTGCCTGCATGTCCTTCAAGGAATTGAAAGATGCTTGCACAGTCAAAAAGATAGGGTTGGCCATTAACTGCCAATGTAGTTTTAGCTCTTCTATGCAAGTGATTATTCCCATGTCTTCAAAGGTGTTCGGGTCCCTTCTCAAGTCAAAGGGCAAAATAGCCTTCTGTGAAGTGAATTCATAGGCTTATCTATACTCTCCAGATGACTGGACTGCCTTGTACTTAATACATTGGAGGCAGTAGACTTTCTCTGTGCTATATCTGATCTGAGAAGCTCCCAACTTGTTTTCCAGCAGAAGCAGTTGCAGAAAACAGGGTCAAGGCAGTGAGAAAACAGCAACACAAGAGTTGCTCCAGAAGGGCCAATGCAGACAAACGTAAAGACTTACAACACAGGACATGAGTGATCTGGATGGGGTCTTACATCTGCGTTTTCTGGATGTGAAAGAAGAGCTGTGTGTAAGAAGGCAGCTCTCTGCCTGATGGTGATGTAGCACGATTATTCTAGAGAGGCTAAAGTGAGAGGAACCCAGTATTTCTTTTGGTGAAATCTCTTCAGAGCAGGCATATCTTGTGGTGCCTTGCATGCCAAGCAAGTCTTGGGCCAATTTGCTGGAGACCTAGCTAGCGAAATTGCTCACTAAGGTCTCATTTTCTCTTTGGCACATGTTCCTCACTATGATTTCCGCTCTAAGGGTCTTAAAATTGAGATGGCAGACATATGCTTGCTAGTCAGACACATCTATGTGCTTTTTCTAATAGAAGCCCCTCTCTCTTCCCAGCCACAGCAGGGACACTAGGTACCTCCGTTTTGGAGGTGGTGTAAAGTTCAGTGTGAAAGACTGTTGTGAACACCTGTACTGTGTGTATTAGTCTGGTAACTGCAGATGGAAAGTGCTGGGAGCCAGAACAGATTGTGATGGAAAAACAGGAAAACTGTTATTGCTTTTGAAATTGTGACAAGTTAGTGTAATACTTGGGTGGTTCCACACTGTAATACCTTTATAACTCAGATAAGTGCAGTCCAGTTTGGTTGGCAATCTCACAATGCCATCTCCCTTTCCTTGAGGTCATACTCCAAATGTTGAATGCTTCCCCCTGGCCCCCCTAATCCACATGGCCTTTTGTTACCTCATGGAGCTTCAAGGGACTATCCCAAAGTGCAGCTCAGGGAGGCTCCACCAGTGACTTGCACAGAAAGTCGCAAAAGGATGTGGTTGGTTTTAGATGCCCTGAAGTATTCTAACTCTTGAGCCACTGATGTCATGGTTTATTCAACTTGTTCTGGCTTCCATAACTAGCAGCAAAACCACTGGCAGATACAGAATGCTTTGTTCTTTTTTAGTACTGCTGGCAGTGGTGTTAAAGAGTTAAAAACCTGTTGGCATGTGTGTGTTTGATATTATTAAAATGTCGGCTACCATCAATGCTAGGTACTACTACAACAAATCCCCCTAATCTCCTACATTAATATAACATGTTGTGAGGGCTCCAGAAATACTTTAAAATGGTTTTGGCATAATGGTACTTCACTTCTGAAATGTGGTGAGCTTTGGTGTAGAAAGTGTCAAGCTTGCTAGTGCTGTATTGCACACAGTAGTAGGAATGTGAAACTCCAGCTAAGGGGTCACCAAGGCAAAGCCCTAATTTGAAGTCATCACATCTTTGCAAATGAGGCAGGGATGTTGGGTTTCATGGTCTCATTACAGACACCTACTCATGATTAATGGCTTGAAACAGATTTTATTGTTTAAATAG